AAGTTACTATAGTTAAGAATGACTATTAGCGTTTTATGATTGAAACATCTTTGAATTCACGTTATTCTTATACTACAAATAGTTAGAATTTCAATTCAGAACTACGACCGTGTTCATGTTACACATTATGCCACAAAATTGCCATGTCCAAAAACGAAGTATAATAATGATGGTGATCGTGATGATGACTATGACTATGATGATGATATAAAAGCTCCAAAGTGGTGATACTTTATTATTGGATAATGAACGCATCTAGAACGATGATTCATATATTCCATGGTTAAGAATGTGAACTTTGCTCTGAATTAACAAAAGCATTATTGACATCTTTCAAGAAATCTTTTAATCCATTTTTCTATCAAAACTTGAAATTTTCCTTTTGTGTTCTTAATCAAGATCACAATCCCGCGAATACCTCAATCTTTTATTTTAAGAAATGTGACATCATATTCGTCAATCACATACTTTTGTCATCAACTACCCAATACAAACAAATTGATAACATTCTATCATTTCTACCAAGCTACTAGCAATGTTTCTTGATTTTAAATCACTTTCATCATCAAAAATATTATCCTAAACTTGTACTCCCTCCGTCACATAAAGATCTTCCCATTTTGACTTTTCACGGTCTTCTAAGTTGAACTTTGACTGCAAATATCTACATATCTATATTTATAAAATTCATAATAAATTAACATTCAAATAATATGTTTTACAATGAGTTATATAAAATAAATTTTTAATCATAACATAATGTGAGTTTTGAATAAATAATGGTCAAAGTTCATAAAGTTTGACCCAAAAAAGTCAAACCGGGAAGATTCTAGCGTTACGGAGGTAGTATTATAGGAGTCAGCTAACATTCGACCGCTTCATAAATCTGTAGTCATTTAAATGTCTAATATGGAGTAACAATTGCATACGCGAGATCTTTGATGGAATTATTAACTTATCTAAGAGTTACGGAGAATACTATTTATCCGGATGGAGAGAACACTAGTTATATGATAAATACTAATACTAAACTTGAGGCTCCCGGGTCCTGCATTGTCCTTGCCCAACTATTACCATTGGGATCTTCTTTCTTTTCCTTGGAAAACAATAGTACATGGCTATGACAAAGGATAAAATTCCACCAGCTGCCGCGCCAGCAATGAATCCGGACATTGCTATCATTGACACACCCTCACCCTTGCACTGAGGCAGAGATGGGGCACCACATAGTCCTGCATTATTGCCATAGCTAAGATAGGTTTTGTTTTGAAAGCTTGGGACAGGTCCTGTCAAACTGTTATCTGCCACACTGAATGTCACCACCCGACCGAGCAGACCGAGTTCGGGAGGTATTCGTCCAGAAAACTGGTTGTTGTGAAGCTTAATAGCATTCAGGAGTGAGCATCTTGCAAGGTCTTGAGGTATCTGTCCTGATAATTGATTGAATGAGAGATCAATGGTGGTCACAAAACCAATGATTTTGGAGATGTTTGATGGAATAGGCCCACTGATTTGATTCCTTGAAAGATCCAAGCCTGTCAAAGATTTGCAATCCTTCAGACCAACTGGAAACCTTCCTTTGAGTCCCATATCAGAAAGCCTGATATTGAGAACACGGCTTTCTTCAGGATGCCAGCAATCAATCCCTGTAAATCTACATATGAATCCTTCAGTGTAGTTACTAAAATCCCAATCAGCGAAGTAGCCTTTTGGATCTTCCAAAGTGGACTTTATTGATTTTAGACAATCAATGTCACTCTGGAGACAATGGCAAAGACTGTTGCTCAATAGAAAAGAGACCAAGATTGATAGAAACATGATGGCAGGTCTGTGATTCAGCATTACGCTCAAATCGTTGGTTGGTTGGGACATTCAGTATCACTACCAACTAGTATCCCAGCCTCCAACTTCCTAAATCAACCTCAAAATATTTTCATCTCGATGGAATGCTGGAATTGGAGAGCTAATATAAGAAACCAAACACATGCCGCGTTCATGGAAAATTGGTTCTATGGGTTGAATCAGTCAAAAAAAGTCTGCCTTGGACTCGCAGCGAAAATGAGAGGGGACAGACAGGTAGAGAGAGGCGTAGAGAGGACAAAAAAATTGTACTTTGGTACACATTGACATATCCTACGTAATTGTTTGTGCCCAAAAAGAATGTATACACCTTCCATTTGTCTGTATATACAAGCAGCTGCTCGTGCAACATCGTTTGGGGTGTAGCGAGAAGTAAGAATTGGGATGGACCGCTATAAAGAATTTTTATAGATAAATTTTACATAATTTTTACATTAAAAATAAAAGCAATTTTAAAATTGGGCTGGGCCGTGGTCCGGTTGGCCACTCCTCCACCTCCGTGGCTCCGCCCTGATTGTCTGTATGTATTATCTAATACGTAGTAACATACACAATGTGTGACAAATGTATACAAATTTTGTATACAAGAAAATTTGTTGATTTCTTTAAATAAAAGAAAATATTTATTAATTAAAAAGCTATGTTTAAGGAATCGACCTGATCCGGAACCGGCTGACCCGGTCACTTCAACGGTCCGGAATGCATTGTAAACCAGATGAACCGGTCAAATTCGGTCATAAACGATAAAATCCCTATAAAACCCGACCCCATTTTGTTCTTTCCTCACGCTTGCTTACTTCGACCAAGAAAAAACATAAAAGAAGAAGAGATGTGAAAGGGAAAATTTGGAAAATTTGAAGTATATGAGTCAGATGTTAAAGGTGGGTACCCACTTCCTTAGATGCAGAATTTGGAAAATTTTGTTATAAATTTTCAAATGAAATAGATATTTTTTGACTCGATAGACAGGTACCCACTTCCTCGAATCTAAACGTTTATTATCTGAATTTATAAAATCTGATTTGAGTGTTTTTGTTTTATCTGAATTTGTGTTTGATTTATGAATCTTTCCAACTTCATTTGAATGCTTTAACCTGATCTGATTTTTTTTTAATTTGATTTGAATTATCAGATCTGGACATTTCGATTTCATCTGGTCCAAAGCTTTTTTATCCCATTATTGAATAGATCGACCAAAAATTTTAGTTTAAATGAAAACATCTTATTACCTTGGTCCCGGTGAAATTTGCCTAACTTTGAATTAGGTGAAAAATTAGAAAAGTCAAAATTGGATGTTTGAGGTTTGTGTAAAGGAGAAACAAATGAGCAGAACTATAAATTAATTAGTTCGATTGAAAATTGACAAAGTTTTTGGGTCGATAGAAAAAGAAAAGTTGGCAAAATTAATTTGACATATGAAGTATTATTTAGCAATACTATTTCGTGTATTACACATTAAACTACTTATGTATTTAAAGTCCACAAGTTTAAACTGATTTTAACAACTTGATTTATTAGAGCTACAATTTATATTAAGAAAATTGAATTTACACAATTGATAATGTGAAATGAAGTAAGAATGATATAGAATCACACAAATATGGAAAACTACATTGTACACAAATTTAGTACACAAATTGTACGCAACCCCCTAGTTGCTTGTGTATATAGAAAAATCATTTGGGAAAAGAACATCATTTTATGCCAAAATGCCTATGCACACATGAAGTGTAAAATTTGTGTACAAATTTTATGTACAACACGAATCACCCTACAAATATTACCAAATTTGAATTAGACAATTTTAGTAGAGGATACCAATTAGAAAGTATAAGGGGGTGTTTGGATCGGATTCTTAAAACCGTTTCTGCTCCTTCGGGGAGGAGAAGCAGAAGTCGAAGTATTTGGGTGAATGTGCAGAAGTACTTCTTATACTCTAATTTAGAGGGTGTTTGGATTTGATTCTTAAAACTGCTTTTGCTCCTTCAAGGAGCAGAAGCAGAAGCTGGAGTGTTTGGGTGAAAGTGCAGAAAAGATTCTGGTACTCAAATTTACTCCTAGAATAAGTTTTTAGAAGCTGGGGGTGACCAACTTCTGGGGTGACCAGCTTCTTAAAACTGATTCTGATTCTGTTTCTGCTTAAAAAAAGAAGCAGAAGGAGAATCAGTTCCAAACACCCCGTTACTCCTATAAGCAATTTTTTTAGAAGTTCGGGAAAATTAGTTTCTGAAAACTGATTCTGTTTCTGCTTAAAAAAAGCAGAAACAAAAGTAAAATCAATTTCAAACACATTGTAAGACAACATTAACACAATCATTTACGATTTTGGTTCAGGTGAGAAATGCATCTAATGTGAGAAATGAGAATGAATCTCAGCCATTGGATTTACGAAGTTGCACTAAAATTGGTTTTATGTTGCAGTAATATTTAAATTTTGCACATGTTGCACTAAAATTGTTTCATGTTGCACTAATATTTGACGGCATTGCACCGAAATAGCTTCATGTTGCACTAGACACGTGTAATACGGATTTTTTAGAAGTATTTACAGAAATGCCACCGTGCTAGATTGCATATTTCAGTGCATCATGAAGTCTCTTTTACCGCAACTTAGTCAAATCCAATGGCTGAGATTCATTCTCATTTCTCACCCAAAGAGTTATTCTCACTTGAACCTTACCCATCATTTACTAACTAATAAAAATCCATAAAACTTTATGATTTTTGATTAAATTTGTAATGAGGATTGAGGTCCCGATAATTAATTTTAGGTAAAATATACTCTGTTAGTCTGTTGTTACAATTTAACGTGTTCTAATAAACAATTCCGTGAAGGTTGCTTCAAAAAACAATTCCGTAAAGGTTGTCAATGGAATTATCATAATTAAAACCCAAATTATCAATTGACCCAAATAATTTCCTCAGAAATTTGGTGGAATCAATGAATAACATGGATTGTAATTCGTCGCAGACTAGATCAGATCAGATCACGCCATATTAAACCAGATCAAACATGAATAATTATAAAAAGACATAGAAATTAGACCAGATCAGATTAGATCAGACCAGACCAGATCAGCAAATTACAGTCCAATTAAAAAACATCATAAATTTTCATAAAAGTATACAATTTGAAATTGGGGAAAACTGTCAAATAGGTCCTCGTACTTTCGTGAAAAAGTCAATTAAGTCCTTCTACTATTTTTCGAATCAATCAAGTCCACCAAGTTCAAAAAATCAACCAAATCCGCCATTTCACCGGTAAGCAACCGGTAGCCCATATACATGATGATCTGGAGGCCCACGTGGCAATTACCTCTATTCCGTTTTTTTATTTCTTTGCTTCTTTCTCTGCTGAACGGTGAGCCATCTTCTTCCTTACAGACCTCTTCTTCCCAGTGTCGTACCAGTACCTTTCTCCCCCCTCTTGTTTTCTTTCTTTCTTCTTCCCTTCACTATCCTTCTCCTCATGGTTTTCTCCCTCACCCCAATTTCTTTATTTTCCAATTTCTTTTTCTTTCTTTTCTTCAATTCTTTCAACTCTCTTTCTTGGATGGGTGTCGGCGGTTGAGAAGTTGTGGCCGACGGGAGGTGGGCGTCCGGCAGCGGTTGAAGAACACATGGGAGATGGTGGCACGCGGCATCCGTTGGGAACAATTTGAGCTGCGGGTGACGGCGGTTGGGGAATTGTGGGAGACAACGGACATCGCTTGGCGGCGGCTGGCCAAGCTTTGGCTATGGAAGATCCAGATTGGAGAAGTACGGCCGACGAGCAGTCCACAGTGGCGATAAGAAAGTAATAGAACAAAGAAAATACAGAGTAGGTAAGAAAGGAATAAAAAAGAAAGAACGATAAAACACATAGAAGATTAGGGAAGAAGAAGAGGTGGTCTGAGAGAGAAAGAAAGAGAAAACAAAAAAGGAAAAGAAATGATAAAACTAAAAATATTGCAACGTGGGCCTCCACATCAGAAACTACCGGGATTACTGGCTGCTAACCGCTCAAATGACGAATTTGATTAATTTTTTGGACTAGATGGACTTAATTGATTCGAAAAATAGTAGAAGGACTCAATTGACTTTTTCATAAAAGTACGAGGACCTATTTGACAGTTTTCCCTTTGAAATTGCTTACATTCGATGGGGTGAAAAGAGTCTTCTCATTAAACTTCTTTTTTACCCTCATCTCAAATACTCCGTACCAATAACTAACTAACCGAGATACCAATCATTGAACAACGAACACCAGTGTTAATAGGGTTTAAATAAGGTAATCTCAGAAATTAGTTCCAACCAGTTCGGACTTCGGCCAAGAACCTTGCCCGGCAGAGCGGCCGGCCACCGGCGCACCTACGCTTGGGACAAGAGCTGATTTTTCCGTCTGCTGTAAAACCGTACAGGTACGCCGGTTCATACTTTATTTCAAATTACATAAAATAAGATGAGGAAACGTTAATAGAATCACAAATTAGTTATTTTAATTGAAGAGCCTATTTGTTATACTTTAATTATCCTATTTAATTGATTCTGTTGAAATTTATGAAGTTTTAGACGAATTGATTGATTCTATTCAATTATAAAAATTATATTTAAAATATACGAGGTAGGTAGTACTTTATTAATATAATAAAGAAAAAAACTTAAATGAAAATAACTAAAATGATTATTTACATTACTTGTTTTGATAATTAGACAACTTAGCACCCAAAATCAAAAATTACTTGGTTAGTGAATTGATTGGTAAGATTGATAAACCGAAAAGTAGGTTTAAGAGGCTCGAAAAGTGTCAATTTTTTCTAATAAAAAATTGGCATTTTAGTCCGCTACTCGCTTACACCTTAAGTCCTTAACTAGTTATCTACTTTGATTACGTAATGTCTTTCTTTTACATACGGAATACATAGAAATTACTCCTTACTTTGTACTTTTCTTGATACGGGTACAATTGTAGGTTTGTAGTTGCCGATTGAAAATTCAAATTAATACGGGTAAAAATGTTATAAAATTTCAAATTAGGTGTATGTTTAAAAAATTTGAGTAGTAAATATTCTGTAGAGAATAAAACATAATGCTCCCACTTTGGAATTTTGAAACATTTTTTTCTATTTAGAGTAATTTCTTATCATTAAATTGTGAATGTGTTGACTTGGGGATGATGGGTTGTGAATTCTTTATCAAACATCGTTGTGTTGTTATATTGTTGCCTTTCACCTTTTCTCTTTTGGGGTAATTTGAGTATACACTTCATTTTATTGTTCAAATTGGACACTGCACCATGTTTTTTAAAAATCTTTGTTTTTGTATTCCCAAACTCGTATGAAAAGACAAAAATGCTTCTCAATAAGGAACATGTTGAAGGTCAACATAATTGTTAATGGAAGACATTTTTGTCTTTTCATACGGGGTTGAAGTGCAAAAACAAAGATTTTAAAAACGGGGTGCACAGTCTAATTTGGACAATAAAATGGGATGCAAATGCATTTTTGTCTTTTTTATTCATCCTCTGTTTGTGTTAATAGTAGAAAATCAAAAGTGATATTAAATGGATTTGTAGTATTAAGTGTTGACTTAGAAAATCTTAATTATTAAGATATAAATATATAATTGATGGTTTTGCTTTGTAATGCTAAAAAAGAAATGTATTTAAGTAATGCTTAATTTTTCCTTTGATTTTTATTTTGTAATTGTGATTTGTTTAAATATTTCACATGTCGAATTAAATAGTCCTTAATTTCTTTATTATAGAGTTTTTGTATAGTATTATGGAAAAATACTTTAAATAATACAGAGTACAAATTATCTTTCATTAACTGAAAATAATAATGCATACATTGGGAGTAACTTTTAATAATACCAACAATTTAAATATATGACAGAAGTGATATAGAGCCATTTTCAGTAACAATTTAGTCATTTAACTCATCAAAAAAATAAAATCAAAATATCAAATAAGTGTCTTTAATCTTTATTCCCAAATATCATTTATTTGATTGTTTGATATCGATTTTTGATGTCTTAAATGACTGGATTTATTATAAAAAAGAGGTTCCATATTACTTTGATTTATATTCAAATGCTACATAGTTGGTATTATTATAAATCATTTCCAAAGTACGTATTTTTATTGGTTTATTAATGATAGGTGGTATTATATAAACTTAGTACACCTTATTACATATTTTCCCTAGTATTATTATACTAGTACATCTTAATTTAGAGAAAAAAAGTGTTTACCTTTTTTTTAAGATTAAAAACATTATAAACTGTCGCCCCTAGGCCCTAAATTAAACAGGACTGACTCTGCCTTTTATGGCAGTGTGCTGGTGTATAATTCCATTGTTTCAGAGAATGCTGGAGCATAATAAGAACTGTCACCATGATATCATCAGTATCCTCCCTGAGAGTTTAAGGGAAACCATCCTAACATATTTGCCTCTTCAAGATGCTGTTAGGACTAGTGTGCTATCAACTAAGTGGAGGAACACATGGACTAAGATTTCACATCTTTATTTTGATGAGACTCTCTGGCCTGGATCAAGTGGGGGTGACAAACTGGAGCTTAAAAGTAAATGTGTTCGGCGAATACTCCATACTTTGCTGCGACATGATGGTCCTATAAACACACTGTTTCTTTCAATTTCTAAGCTAGGAATTTTCCCTGAAGTCGACAACATAATGTTAATCCTGTCCAAAAGTGACGTTGAACATCTCGTACTTGAATTTTGTTCCGGCAAGTATATATTGCCTTCTACATTTTTCAAGTGTCAGAGACTAAAACATCTATCCCTTTGTTCCTGCTTGTTTCAACCATCTTCCAACTTCATTGGATTTAGCCAGCTTCTCACCGTTGAAATGATTGATGTAGCGATGAGTTCAGAACAGCTTGAAAGTCTTATTAATGGTTGCCCCCTACTTGAAGCCTTGACGCTGAAAATCTCTCCCGTGTGTTTAACTCTTGATATTCAGGCTCCTAAACTTAAGTACTTTGAGTTTATAAGCAAATTAGAATCGGTTTGTTTCAAAAACACTCCACATCTCGTGGAGGTGGTAATTGTATATGATTACGATACACGGATTATTGAATGGAAAGAAACGTCTTTACGTGAGGAATCTAATCTTAATGAACTTTTCAAGTCTCTGCCTGCACTTAGCAATCTGCGCCTTGGTTATACGCTTCCAAAGGTATGAAAGTTTCTATATCTACTTCACTATAAACAAATTGACATGCTATATGTACAATAACATTTTTGCCTTTCCATGTAAAACTTGAAGTTTGTATCTTTGATTGGACTCCCAGAAAGACATAGTCCGACCGCTGTCTGCCTTAACACTCTTGTACTTGAGTGGATATGTTTAGAAAGAATGGGTGAGATGGCATCTGTGCTTTTTATAGTTAGAATGTCACCAAACTTGCAAGACATCATCATTCATGTGAGTTATTTTTCATATTTTTTTCTTTTATATGCTCAAGTTGTTGAACTCATTCTGATATTTAGAGCTTTATTATGTTGTGTAACATGTGATGGCATCCCTTTTTATTTGTTCCTTTTAGCTATATAACATTGTTGGTACTGCTGACCAAAAGCCTTCTCCCAAGTCACTGGACGTCGAAGAAAACTCGGATGTGAAACTGAATCAGCTGAGAAGTGTGCAATTCTCAGGTTTTACAGGCACAAGAAACCAAATGGTGCTTGCAAAACTTCTTTTAACCAAATCTCCGAGGCTCAATAAAATGGTAATTAAACCCAACACCAAACAGTGCAATGCAAAAAGAGGATTTTCGATATTGAAAGAGCTAATACGGTTGCCACGGCCATCAGCAGCTGCAGAGATTATCTTTGGATAAGTGAGGCAATAGTGTCTATGAATATTTGACTATGGATGCCACAAGTCCACAACTTCATTTGCATGTTTTCTTATCTTTATTTTTGCGGACCTTGGCATTTGCAAGAGAATTAAATGATGCACTTTTCTATCATTTAACAGGCACAAAACACCAAAATTAGACAAGATGCTAGTGAAGAATGAATAATAACTTTGTATATTATATTGTCGTTTATATTTCTCAAATCAGGCTGCTACTGTAATGGCTTAAACCTGTGTTTTATATTATGGCATTTTGCTATTTGGTAAAACACTAAAATTCAACATTTAAGGTCAGTTTTGCAGTGCAATTCATTACGATTGACCTTTTAATTTATCATTTGTTATACCACCTCCATCAGTCTACATGCCTATGTTTGAGACATTTGTTAAAAGAAATGAAATTATGTTATTGGTATTAAATTTTAAAATACGAATAGATTTTTTTCTCGCAAGTCGTATCAATTATGGTAAAGATATGAAATCATTACCCTTCATTTTGACTAACATGATCTAAACTTCTAAAGTGAGCACTTTGGTGTATTCACTTAACTTAATCGCAAACATAGTAAATAAATGATAAAGTGAAAATAATACAAAGAGAAAGGGACTAATAGTGTTATTTTATACTCCCTCCGTTCTTTTTTATTAGTCCTTTCCTTTTTGGGACGTTTTTTTTATTTGTCTCCTTTCCCTTTAAGGAAAGTTTTTGAGAAAATACCCCCATTTTTATTACTTTTACCCCACTTACTTTTTACAAACTACTTTCTCTTTCCTAATTTACCATCACTTTACTCTTCTTAATACACCCTCTTTCCTACTTTATCATTATTTTACTCTTTTTTAATATACCATCTTTCCTACTTTATCATTTACCCTACACACTCTATACTTACCCTACTACTTTATTATTAAATCCCGTGTCAAACCCTAAGGGGACTAATATTAAAGAACGGAGGTAGTACTATACGAGTAATTGAGTCAAGTATTATTGATCTATATTTTATGACATATTGTGTGCGTACTTAGGAAGAATGATTAACATTTTATGTTGCTAATTCTTAATCCTGTTACCATTTATCGTTGTCCTGAATTCATTGCTGTCTACCGTAATGACCATATGATGGGACGAAATATTTAAAAAATACTCTACAGAATTTCCTAGTTTCTTTATTGAACTATGTGTGAGAATTATTGGGAAAAGGTACTCCAATAGGAGTCCTGGCAGATGTATTTATAATGAGAGAGTTCAACATACAAAAGGAAACAAATATTCCTAAATATATTTTAGGAAACAAATACTAGTAAAATATATTCTATTACACCCCCTCAAACTGTGCGGGAGAAACAACGCGCAGGTTGTCTTTCAAAAAATGAAATTGCTGACTAGAAAGGCTTTTAGTAAAAATGTCAGCTAGCTGTAACTGTGTAGGAATATATTTCACGATCAAATCTCCATGTGCAACGCGTTCTCTGACAAAATGATAGTCAATCTGAATATGTTTGCTACGAGCATGTTGAACAGGATTAGCAGTCAAGTAGGAAGCAGAGACGTTATCACAGAATAACTGAACAAGAACTTTGACCGGAAAGCCGAGCTCAAATAGGATAGAACGAATATGTAAAGTATCCTGGACAGTGCAGGCAACAGCTCTATATTCAGCTTCTGTGGAAGACTTGGAGACTGTAGGCTGCTTCTTGGATTTCCAAGAGACCAGGTTCGGCCCTAAAAAGACAGCAAATCCAGTCGTGGAGCGAGAAATATCTGGACAGCCAGCCCAATCAGCATCAGAATAGGCAATAACACATGTTGCCTGTGTAGTTGGGCTCAACCATAATCCATGATCCAAGGTCCTCTGCAAATACCTGAAAATTCTCTTGACTGCAAACATATGAGTAGTACGAGGAGCATGCATAAACTGAGATACTAAATGGATAGCATAGGTAATATCAGGTCTTGTCAAAGTTAAATACTGTAACGCACCAACCATACTACGATACTCAGTTGCATCTGCAAGGAGTTCGCCATCAGTGAGAGAAAGAGAAGTGCGAGTAGCAAGAGGTGTACGAACAGGCTTAACTGTATTCAGATGAAATCGGGAGAGAAGATCAGACACATATTTGTGTTGAGAGAGAAACAAACCTTTGTCAGAACGTTTGGCCTGGACTCCAAGAAAATAATGGAGATCACCTAGATCCTTCATAGCAAAATGCTGAGCAACGAGATGAATAAAGGATGCAACAAGAGAGGACGAGTTGCCAGTAATAATAATGTCATCAACATATAATAATAAATAAATGACACAATTATTCTGACGATATGTGAACAAAGAATTGTCAGACTTGCTGCATGTAAAATGATGAGACAATAAAAAACTACTAAAACGATGGAACCATGCCCGCGGGGCCTGCTTAAGTCCATAAATGGCTTTCCGCAGTCGACATAAATGATTAGGAAACAAGGGATGAGTAAAACCCCGCGGTTGACGCATATATACCTCCTCAGTGAGGTGACCATGCAAAAAAGCATTTTTAACATCTAACTGACGAATAACCCACCCAAAAGAAATAGCTAGAGTAAGAACAACACGAACTGTGGTGGGTTTAATAACTGGACTGAAAGTCTTAGAAAAATCTACACCAGCCTGCTGATTAAACCCCTGAGCAACTAGGCGAGCTTTATGGCGCTCAATAGACCCATCAGAATTATACTTAGTCTTATAAATCCACTTAGAGCCCACAACATTTTTAGTGTTGTCAAACGGGACTAATTCCCAAGTATTATTAGAAATAAGAGCATTAAATTCCTCTGCCATCGCCTCACGCCACTTTAAATGTTTATTTGCCTCTGAGAAACAGGTGGGATCTGCTGATAAAACAACTGTATTTAAATTAAAAATGGTTTTGGGTTTAAAAATACCCGACTTAGCCCGAGTTTGCATTGGATGAATATTAGGAGGGGAGGGGGGTGGACTGGCCGTGGACTGAGAGTGTATCGGGCTGGCATCGGGGGCGGGAGCGGTTGGCACAGAATCTGGTGGTGGTGAGTGCTGGACTGACGGGGAGGGTGGTGATGAGGGATGGTCTGTGAAGTGTGGTGAAGACGGCTGAGGTGTAGGTGAAGATTGGTCTTCAGTGGGTGGTGTGGTCTGCTGAGTTGGAGTGTGGTCAACGGGTGGTGGCAGTGAAGGCTGGGCTTGTGGTAGCATGGTGCATTTCAGTGGGGATTTAGAATGGGTGCTGGATGTTAAATTGGGAAAATCAGGGAGGGATGGGTTTTGAGAATGGTTACTGGATTCGAAGTTGGGAAAATCAGGGAGACATGGGGCTGGTGAGTCTACAGACATGGTGTGGGGTGGGAAAAACTCAGGCAGTGTAGAAGAACGAGTAGCATTTGTAGAAGAAGACAAAGTGGTGAATGGAAATTTTTTTCATGAAATCTAACATGTCGACTAATAAAAATCTTACCAGAAATTGGCTCAAAACAGCGATAGCCTTTAAAACCAGATGCATAGCCAAGAAAGACACACTGAACAGAACGAGGAGATAGTTTATTGGAGGAAGAGGCAGAAAAATTAGGATAACAGGCACACCCAAAAACACGCAATAAATTATAGTCAGGCTGTTTTTGAAAAAGTTTTTCGTAGGGAGAAAGACCAGAAAGTGTTGGAGAAGGAAGTCGGTTCACAATATAAACTGCAGTAAAAATGGCATCAACCCAAAAGGTGCTAGGAATAGAGGCAGTAATAAGCATAGTCCTAGTCAGCTCAAGGAGATGTCGATGTTTACGTTCAGCAACCCCATTTTGTTGGGGAGTATAGGGGCAAGATTTTTGAAAATAAATCCCATTTTCAGACAAAAAATTTTGCATGTTAAAATTAACAAACTCACCTCCTCCATCACTTTGAAAAACTTTTATTTTAGAATTAAACAAGTTCTCCACTACAGCCTTGAACACACGAAAGTGACTGAAAACTTCATGTTTTGTACGCATCGGATATAGCCATGTAAAGCGAGAAAAATCATCAATGAAGCAGACATAATATTTAAAACCAAGGTTTGACAAAACAGGAGACTGCCATACATCAGAATGAATTAATTGTAAAGGAAAAGAAGAATTATGACTAACATCTGAAAAAGGTAATCGCTGAGATTTGCCTAAGCGGCAAGAAACACAGTCATGTTCAAAACTAGAACTAGAAATAATATTTTTAGTACGCAACATGCGTAAAATGTTTTCACCACAATGCCCTAATCTACGATGCCACACAGGGCCAGGAGTAATAGTAGAAGCTAATGCTAGAGGTGCAGATGGGCTGAGGCAGATGGGGTAGAGATGTCCATTATGATGTGCCCGAAGCAGAACCGCCCCCGAAATTTTGTCCTTGACAAGAAAAGAATTTTTATCAAAAATAGCAATGCAGTTGTTATCAGCACATAATTTTTGGATAGATATTAAATTAAATTTAATTTGAGGCACATGATAAACAGATTTTAAAGATAGTGGACGACTGAGAGAATTTAACGTGATATTTCCAATATTAGCAATAGGAAGATTAACGCCATTTGCGACACTAACAGTCAAAGGGCCAGAATAAGAAGATTTATTAGCCAAAATACCTTCCGAAGAGGTCATGTGAGCAGAAGCACCAGAATCGGGGTACCACAAAGCATCGTTAGTTTCCCCAGTGGGAGCCACGAGAGCTGGTGCAGAAGGCTGAGAGAAATGAGATGGACATTGAAGAGCGGAATGACCTGCAGAAAAACAAATCTGACACACAACTGGAGGTGGAACAGACCCTAGAATACCCTCAGCTGATGAAAAACCTGCATACGCATAATGAGTACCAGAAATAGATTGAGTAGTAGTATTTAAAGTGGACAAGACAGATGTACCAGATGCACCATTTGGTCTCGGAAAAGGCACACCCCCTGCAGGTGTAGGTCTCGGCCCGGGCTGTGGAAACTGTGTCGGAGCTGCCGGTGGACCATAGGACTGGTGGGGCTGATGACGGCCCCTTCCGCGGTATCCTCTACCTCGGCCGCCTCTTCCGCGGCCGCCTCTGCCGCGGTATGCGGCCACATGACCTTGCTGCCCGGCATCTACGTGAGCCCCAAAAGCCGGCTGAATGGAGACAGCATCGTCTTGTTGCTGATGTAGAAGAGTTTGTTCCGCTTCCATGAGGCGTGGATGAAGAATATCTGGCGGAAAATTCTCAGGAAACAAAGAGATGGTGCCCGTAACAAATCGATATTCAGGTCCCAAACCACGGAGCGTGTGTTCTAGTAACTCTTTAGCAGTCACAGGGGAATTTATTGCAGCTAAAGCGTCGACCAGATTTTTAATATCACGCAAATAATGCTCCATAGATTGAGTGGCCTTCTTTTTGGTATTAGACAATAAACGTTTTAGTTGCATAGCTCTAGGTAAACTAGCAGACATAAAACGTGATTGCAAACGCTCCCATATACCAAATGAATGTTTATTATCATGCACATCAGTTAATACTTCACGAGATAGAGTAGCAAACAACCAAGAACGAATAGTTTGATCTATTCGGAGCCAATGATAGTAATCAGTATTAACGACCTGATGATTATTAAAATCCATTGTATATAAAGGAGGTACCTGAATAGAGCCGTCTAAAATACCAAAAAGGCCTTGAGACACCAGTAACGATTCAAACTGAGTACGCCACGTGAGATAGTCTTCAACAGCTTTAAGCTTGATTGTCACAATCTGTCCGACATTGGCAATTCCATGAGAAATAGTTTGAGCCATGGCTGCCAAAGGGGATCCAAACAACGGATTGGTGTGTTGCGGCCTTGTAACACCTGGGAAGCCTGCAAACGATGGTCCAGAGAAAGAGGAGGCGGACTGCGTCTGCGGCTGTAGGTGAGTGCTTGCCGGGGAGATAGGAGAACTGACTGGCTGCCAAGGAAACTGGAGCGGCAGTGAACTGAATAGAGAATAAGTGTCGGCAGCGGTGTTCGGCGAAAAAGAAGACACCATCGGAGCAGAGTGTTGCAGCGGCAAGGTGAAGCTCTGCACCTGAGAAGAACTCGCCGGCTGGGACTGGACCATTGTGGAACAGGATCCTGCTGCAGAGGTGAATCCATCATTCACCGCAGATGAAGCCGGCTGTGGGGTGGAGGAAGTCTGCGACGCCGTGGAGAAGATCTCCTGGGACATGGCGGCGACGTGAAAGAAACGAACGAGAGTGAGGAAAAGAAAATAGGGTTTTTAGGCTCTTGATACATGTGAGAATTATTGGGAAAAGGTACTCCAATAGGAGTCCTGGCAGATGTATTTATAATGAGAGAGTTCAACATACAAAAGGAAACAAATATTCCTAAATATATTTTAGGAAACAAATACTACTAAAATATATTCTATTACTATGAACTTATTGAATTCAGATTCTGTACTTATTCGGATAATAATGTTTTTTTGCCTCTTGTTTAGTTTTGCCAAAGAAAACTTCTTTGCAATCAGAAACTTGACTTTTTTTTTATCTATCATCTATTTTTTTTTATCAAACGCGTAACTTTTGATTTGCGTGATGAATTATGTTATAATAAGTAAATAAGACCACACAAGGTTAGAGTTACTTTTCTGACTCTAATGACAGAAGTTATTGTAGAGATCATTGTCACTGTTTTTCATATAATTTTTTTTTATTTTATTAATAAAATATATTTCAAGTAGATTTTTTTTCCTATAGCAGAATCAGCCAATCAAATCACTATAGTCAGAACTTTTTACATTTTAACAGAATCAACTTATTTTAATATACCACACGGGCTCAAAAATTAGGGGTGGGCAAAAATACCGAACCGGCATGGTACCGAACCGAACCGATATGGTACCGGACCGAAAAACGGGGTTTGAAACGGATCTCAATTTTTTTGTCCCGAACCGAACCATACCGATTCTAAACAATGCCATGACCGGTTCTCATAAAATGAGAACTGAAACCGGACCGAACCGGACCGAAGTATGATTTAATTATTTAAATTTACATTTATACCATTATTTTGACTAGTGCCTTTACATTTTCACCGTCATTGCTAGTTCATAGGAAGCCTGGAATCGGACCGATGTATGGTTAATCATTTAAATTTGTACTACTATAATTTATCTGAAATTTATTAATTATGTAATACTACTTTCGTCCCAAATTGAGTTGCAAAATTAACTTTTTTTGTCAAACAGATTCATTTTATTCACTTAACTAGAATGTCAATTTTTAATTATATTTAATTTGGAGCTTGCAACTTTGAAGAAATTTCAATGTAGTTTCTGAATATGTTTATTTTAATTATTAAAAATTGAATTAATTATCAATGAAGAGAATTTAACTCTAACATTGGATGACCAAAAAATATTGACTTTGCATGTCAATTTGGGATGGAATGAGTATGAAAATTGATAAATTGTGTAGATTTTTGGAGGATGACTAAACTTTAATTGTCTCTTAAACACTTGAAAAAAGTGACATTGTCTGGTATTGGTATGACATGGTACCGTCCCGTTTCAAAATGAAACCGTACCGAACGGGTTTAGGTCTAAGACCGAACCGAACCATTTGAATAGTAACGGTACGGGTACGGGTTCGGCCAAATATTGGACCGGACCGGACCGCGCCCACCCCTATCAAAAATTGATCTACATGTGTGGGGAGGGGGGCATCTTTTGTGTTCATATAGAACCCAATGCTTCAGGAGTTCGGGTACTAATTATTAGTACTTTTAAGTTTTAATGAAGCATTTAGTGCAATTTCACTATTTCAAATAATGTCGATATTTTCTTTTGGGCTATTTTCCGTCTCAAATCAGACTTAAACAAAGCAGATCAAATCAGACTTAAACAGATCAGACATTTACCAGACCAGATCAGTTCGAACCAGATCAGAACAAACAAAACTTAAGCTATGTTTGGCATAACTAGCTGGAACGGGAGGCTATGGTCTGAATCAAGGGTTGTTGTCTGAACCAAAGACTGTTATCTGGAGCTAAACTTTGAAGTGTTAAATCTGAATTAATAGTTGAATAAAGTAGACTGTTTGGCATGAAGAGCTCAAAAATGTCGAGATAATATGAAATTACATCGAAGAGCTATCACTTACCTAGTTACCTCGCACCGAGATTAACAAAGAGGAGAAGACAAATACTTTGGAAGAAGAAACTTGCAGGAGAAGAACCGTAGCAATCTGGAGTAAATTTCGCGTGAGGGAATAAATAGTGCAGGGGTAGAATCGGTACAGAAGGTGTTATATAATCGTCTGAAATGTAAAGCTAAGCTTGGTAACATTGCGATTTGCGATTCGGTCGCTATTTTCTAGCTCAAGCTCAATTCAACTATTTCTCCAAACAAGGCTACATTTTCGATAATTAACTAGATTTTAAGATTTTAGCTCATGGGGCTTGTTTTAGCAATTTTTGTGCTAATTTAAACAATCAATTAAAGGTTGGTTTGCAACTCCTTTTAAAAAGGCACTTCTCAGCTTTTGACTTTAAAAAAGCACTTATTTTCCCAAACACTACAACTTTTATTTTTCTCGGCTTCCGCGTTAAAAGTACTTTTACTTTTTCTATTACACAAAAAGCATTTATTTTACCAAACACTACCTACTTTTACTTTTCAAAATCACTTTTTTGTCAAACACTATCAGCTTTTATTTAATCACTTCTCCTCATTTCATTAAAAAAAGCAGTTTTTTAAAAGCAGAAACTGTTGCAAACAGACCATAAATGAAAGGAAGAGAATGGACTACGTACAAGAATCAAGAGGGAAAGGAAAAAAAATATGATTATTGTTTTAGCTAAAGAACACTTTGAGGATTTATGATGGAAATATATAAGAATTAAGAATACAAAGGAATAAACTGTCAAATATGCCTCCCTACTATTACGAAAAAGTCAATTAAGATTCCAACTCATTTGTCATTCAATTAGGCCCTTGAAGCCCTATAAAATTTTCAATTTGGCTTTTTTACCGGTAAACTCCTGGTTCCCCGGTAAACTACACATGTGGCGTGTGACGTGGCATTGCATTTGTTGTTTTTCCATTTTCTTTTCTTTTTTCCTTTTCTTTCTTCCCTCAAAGGCAGAGGTGGGATCGGTCCGATCTGGATCTGGTTTTTGCTAAACCCAGAAATTACCGGAAGGTCTCGGGTTATGAAAATTAGGGATCGGAACAAAACCCATTATATTCGGTCCGAGTCGGGTTTTGATAGCCTGGGTTCGGTCCAGGTTCGGGTTGGGCCGGTTAAAGCGCGGACGTGAAATATCTCATTGTTCTTTTATATTTTAACACCTATTTTCAAATAAAATTGATCAAAAATACAAACGCAAATTATAACATAAATATTAGTCTTCCAAATCACCAACAATTTAAATCCAAAGAAGACAATTATCCTAATATTTTATTTAAGATACATATAAATAAATAATATAGGTTTTTTAAAAATATTACGAAATAAAATTTATAGATAAAAATGTGACTAGAGTTGTTATAAATATATTTTCATGGTCATTACGCTAAACAAATTGAACATATTTGTATTCACTAAAAGTTATTAAATCATTTTTTTATCCACCGCGATTATAACCATATATTAGGAAATAGTTATAAATTTATATTCATATATTATATTAATTTTATATTGAAGCTAATTGTTTCGGGTTTTTATCGGTCCGAGCCGGGTTATAGATTTTACGGCCATTAATGAGCCCGGATTTCGGGCTCGTTTTTTTTTAATTTGGGCCGATTAAAAAGAAAAAAATCGGACCAGAATCATAATTTGAGTCGGTCCAGGATCGGTTTCCAGGTTTCGGTTCGGTTTTTCCCACGAGTAATCCAGGGTGCTCCGCTCCTTAGTCCTCTTGCTTCCCCGTTCGTCACCTCCCGGCTCCGAGTCCGTATATCATACCCCCGGGTGTACATACACTCGGCCCAACTGAGGAAGACAATTCAACCCAACAACCAGTACAGGCCAAAAAATTTTCGGTGGCAATTTTGTAATTTGAGTGAAAAATCGCGGATTCCGCTAAATGAGAAATAATGTAATTTTGATGAGCATCGAACCTATTTTATTGAGTATTAGGAAGCTAACAATGAGTAACGTTGTAACACCGTCCCCAAATATATTTACTTTTAAGTGAATAATGTATTGAACCTTATGGAATGATTAATGAATTTACGAAGTTGTGAATTTTTATTCATTCTTTCGCGTGAATAGTAAATTTGCACGTGGGGCCCACACCGGGAGCGGGGACCGCCCGATATTCCCGAGACTATATATTTTATTCATCTTGGTCGAGATAATATGTGTATAGTGGTGGATAATTTATTTGGGCCAAAGAAAAGACATAATGTGGACTGATTTGTCAAAAGTGGCTCAATTACCGGTATTGGTAATTTAACAGATAACAGCCCGAAATGAATTTTGGAGACTTATTAATTAAAGTTGAGGAATGTATATTCATTATAAATGTCATAATGATTAAGAACACATAATATATTTTATTTAACCCGATAAAATAAAATATATTTAAAACAGTCCGAAAAATAAAACTTTCGGGACCGAATGCACATTTTGGGACACAAGGGGATGACCTCCCACATGAGTGGGGTCACCCCACGTTTTTTGGGGCTGAACAAACAAATGGAGAGCTGGGTTGACAAGAAAATAAGTGGAGGAGGTGCAAAGGGACCCTTTGACATCACTCATTTGCCAAAAGAGACAAAAAGAACACCCCTACCCCTTTCCTTTGCATTATTTCGGCCAACCCACCAAGAGAGGAGAAATGGAAAGCCCTCAACACATTCTCCATTGTTGCAACACGAGCTCAAGAAGGAGTCCAAAGAAGGGGTTTTAAGAAGAAAAAAGTTGGGAGAAAGTGAGAAAAATTAAGGTAATGACCTTATTTTTCTCCTACCATATGAGAGATATGTCATATCAAGAACCCTTAGGATTGTTCCACATGTTATAAGTGTGGGATGATGGGTTGAAAGGTAACTTTGAGTCCAAGAACGGACTTAAAGGCCAAAACGACCGGTTCGCCGGAAAATAACTTTTTAGAGGTTATTTGTATTAATATGGGTTTTATGATTATAAAACCTTGTTAGGAACTTGTTTAAGGTGTTCCAAGTGCTTTCACGAAGTTGAAAGAATCGCCGGAGTTGTCTCCGGAGTTTGTCAAAAGTCGTCGGAGTTCAACCGAGGGGTAGAACTTCACAGCGCTAATTCGAGGTGAGGATGACCGACTATATTGCTTATAATTATTGGGTTAATTTCATAAGATTAACTAATTGAATTAAAAGTGATTTGCATAGATTATTAGTGATTAATAATGCCTAAGTGAAATTACTATTGTTTATAAATAGAGAAATGCATAATATACAAATTTATGAATAAATTGTGTATGATTATGTGTTATGAATATGATGGCATGATGATTGTTTTAACCATAAATTTTATTTTGATTAATGTACTTTTACTTCATGTAAAGAAGTCATGAAAGGATAAAAGTGACATTTTGATATTGAAGTCAAATTATACTTGGATGAGGAATTAAATTAAAGAGAACAAATGACTATGAATTAAGAATTCGGTTGTACTAAGGTCAAATGACTAGTATGGAAATACCAGTCAGAGATGTTAGTTCGAATGATTGTTGGAAATAATCCTAAGGGATTTAATTGTGATGAATACACTCAAAATAGCCTTAAGAGATATCCTTAAGTTGGACTATGTGAACTCTAAATTGCATTAGGAGTAGGCCTTAAAGGTTACTCAAAATGAAGGAGTCTAGGTTACGAAGTTGGCTAGAGATTAGATAACGTGACTATGAGCCAAACTCTAGCACAAGGGTATGAAAGTTTCTATATCTACTTCACTATAAACAAATTGACATGCTATATGTACAATAACATTTTTGCCTTTCCATGTAAAACTTGAAGTTTGTATCTTTGATTGGACTCCCAGAAAGACATAGTCCGACCGCTGTCTGCCTTAACACTCTTGTACTTGAGTGGATATGTTTAGAAAGAATGGGTGAGATGGCATCTGTGCTTTTTATAGTTAGAATGTCACCAAACTTGCAAGACATCATCATTCATGTGAGTTATTTTTCATATTTTTTTCTTTTATATGCTCAAGTTGTTGAACTCATTCTGATATTTAGAGCTTTATTATGTTGTGTAACATGTGATGGCATCCCTTTTTATTTGTTCCTTTTAGCTATATAACATTGTTGGTACTGCTGACCAAAAGCCTTCTCCCAAGTCACTGGACGTCGAAGAAAACTCGGATGTGAAACTGAATCAGCTGAGAAGTGTGCAATTCTCAGGTTTTACAGGCACAAGAAACCAAATGGTGCTTGCAAAACTTCTTTTAACCAAATCTCCGAGGCTCAATAAAATGGTAATTAAACCCAACACCAAACAGTGCAATGCAAAAAGAGGATTTTCGATATTGAAAGAGCTAATACGGTTGCCACGGCCATCAGCAGCTGCAGAGATTATCTTTGGATAAGTGAGGCAATAGTGTCTATGAATATTTGACTATGGATGCCACAAGTCCACAACTTCATTTGCATGTTTTCTTATCTTTATTTTTGCGGACCTTGGCATTTGCAAGAGAATTAAATGATGCACTTTTCTATCATTTAACAGGCACAAAACACCAAAATTAGACAAGATGCTAGTGAAGAATGAATAATAACTTTGTATATTATATTGTCGTTTATATTACTCAAATCAGGCTGCTACTGTAATGGCTTAAACCTGTGTTTTATATTATGGCATTTTGCTATTTGGTAAAACACTAAAATTCAACATTTAAGGTCAGTTTTGCAGTGCAATTCATTACGATTGACCTTTTAATTTATCATTTGTTATACCACCTCCATCAGTCTACATGCCTATGTTTGAGACATTTGTTAAAAGAAATGAAATTATGTTATTGGTATTAAATTTTAAAATACGAATAGATTTTTTTCTCGCAAGTCGTATCAATTATGGTAAAGATATGAAATCATTACCCTTCATTTTGACTAACATGATCTAAACTTCTAAAGTGAGCACTTTGGTGTATTCACTTAACTTAATCGCAAACATAGTAGATAAATGATAAAGTGAAAATAATACAAAGAGAAAGGGACTAATAGTGTTATTTTATACTCCCTCCGTTCTTTTTTATTAGTCCTTCTTTCCTTTTTGGGATGTTTTTTTTATTTGTCTCCTTTCCCTTTAAGGAAAGTTTTTGAGAAAATACCCCCATTTTTATTACTTTTACTCCACTTACTTTTTACAAACTACTTTCTCTTTCCTACTTTACCATCACTTTA